AGCTAGAGCGCTCTAAAGAAGCATGGACTATACTCTGAAAGTGACTACTTCGGTCAGCAAATCCAGGACGGATTCAAGATATTGGTAAAAATACCAACTATTTTTAAACAAGTCCAGAAAATTCTGAAAGATGAAAAGGTGAGTTTCCACTGTTTTGAGCTACCTGCATCTAAAAATTTAAAAGTAGTAATCCGGCATTTACCGGCTTACATGGACATTAATGAAATTGCTGAAGAATTAGTCGCCAAAAATTATGACGTCATCCGTGTCAACCAATTGAAAAGACGAAGAAAGAAATGGTGATGTAATCAACCTCCCCCTCTTTCTCATTACTCTTAAGAGAAATGACAAAAATAAGAGAATCCATCATGAATCTTTCCTTATGGGAATGAAAATCAAAGTTGAGGATTACAACGGCAGAGCGGGACCCTTGCAGTGTTATCGCTGCCAAGGGTTCCACCACTCGCAAACGAACTGCAATCACGAGCCGCGTTGTGTTCGTTGCGCTGAGGCGCACGAAACTTTCACTTTCAAGTGTTCAAAAGATAAATCTGAACCTCCGAAATGTGCCAACTGTTTGCAAGTTGGACACACAGCCAACTATAGAGGATGTGAGAAATTTCCACAGCAGAAAGTGACTCCCAAAGCTAAAACGTTCAATGAACGTATAGTGACGAATAAAAATCATATGCTCAGGCATTAACTACGGGACTCGCTCCGGAAGCTATGAAAATGATGACAGAGGCCAAACAAATGTTCCAACAACTAAGTATGTTGGTCACCTTCATTAAGGAATCTGGAATTCCTTTTCTGTGCAAGAAATTAATTGATGAAAACTCAACTACACATCAGGAACGAAATCCGGACTTTCAAATTCATGAATAATTACACCAGACGGCTGACAACTATCCGTTTCGTTTTCTGGAACGCCAATGGCCTCCAAAATCGAATTGGTAAATTCCAACAATTTTGTATTGATCATGATAACTCATGTGAATCAATCATATCAATTCAGCTCATGGAGGTATAAAACCAATGTTTTTCTTCAGCTTTAAATACCTTTTTATATATATCCGTTGGATAATTATAATTTGTAGTTAACAGAAATTTAATTAAAGTTCAAAGTTTTAAATTGATTATAAAATAATAATCTTTAAATGTTCTGTTAAATCTTTGTCAATTAATTTAAATAAATGCAAAGTTTAATTTGATTAAAATTGAAAATAATAATTCTGTCTTATATAATTATAAAATCGCTGAGAACTAGTGTTTCAGCGATTATATCGGAATGGTTCTTCCAACGGTATTGTTAGTTTAGTTTTTCGGTGTAACAGCTCTTCTTTTTATAAAACTGGGAATTCCTACGACTGATTCCGATTTTGCCCTTCCAGATGTTTCGGTGTTGGAATGTGTGTTTTATATTGTTTTGTGTAAATGTATGTTTGTCTATCTGGTTGTATAATTGAAACCTTTCTCCTTTTTGCTCCTTGCTTTCTTTTACTTTATACTAATCAAGTTTTACAGTTTTCTTCTCTTTCTCTTACTTCTCCTTTTCTCGGTATAATTGCTTATCAGCTTTGTGACCATTATTATCTTTAACTTATTGTTTGTTTGTTTTAGTTTTTATACTAACCTTTTTCTGTTACCCGGACCCTCTCAGCGTGAACTTTTAAAGGTTTAAAAAAAAACCGTTTATTTCTATCTTTGTGAGCACGGTGGGACTGCACCGTGCTCACAAATGAAAGAAATTTTTTTTAGCAACATATCATATGGGCCAGCTTCTTGGACCACACTCGCAAGCTCTATCCGGGGATTCATCTCAAGAATTTTATCGGCCATTGTGGCCAACTTATCAGTACCTTCATCACTAACAATTAAAATGTTTTTTACTTGGTCTGGCAGTTTCTCCATCCATAAAGTTCTCAGAATTTTTTCAGACACATCATCAGCATCTCCAAGGCACGCATTTTTCGGAGTAGTTGGTCTCCCAATTCTAGTCCAGTTAGCAATCGCTTGATGCGTTTGTTTTCACTTTCTTTAAAAGTGCTCAGAAGTCTTTCTTTAGCGGCTGAATATTTGTTTGGCGTGTCGTCTCGAATAATGTCCCAAATGTTTTCTATAAATTTGGGTTCAAGTTGTGCAACCAGGTAATTAAATCTTGTGTCTTCGGAAGTAATTCCACTGATTTTAAACTGTGCCTCTATGGTGAAAAACCACATTTCAGGTTTCTCTACCCAAAATGGCGGTATCTTAACACTCACTTTACTAGCTTCAAGTTTTGAAGTAGATGCAGATTCACTGTCCAATGGCATGTTTGCAATTTTAGTCAAACTAAAACATTAGCATTCCTAATAAAACACGGGTCACCAGATATTAGTTCAACTCATTGCAAACTTTTATTCATAATCATGAACAGCACTAGAAAAAAATTACAGACGTCCACCTTGAGCACACCCAACACCAACACATGTGGTGAACGAAAAAACACATGGTCAACAAACTCTTTAGTCAATGTTACAGTTGCATATGAAAATTTAAAAACAATAACACAGCAAAACAAAAATGTTCTGAAAATTCACACACTTAATTTAAAAAAATTAAATGCACATTATTACAGTTATTATCAATGACAAATAATTATTACACTTTTCTTTCATAATTTAAATTGATTTTTTTACCAATGTCTGGGCTATCACCAGGCCACTGAAATGCTAAGTTCAAATCCAATGTATTGGACTGGTGCATCCATCTACTGACAAGATAGTGAAATGCAAAGTGTTCTAACATTACTCCCTCACCAGTAACTAAGTTACGATACTTAAATTGCATTGGTAAGGTCAATAATCGAATAACGTGATCACTACATCTCATGATCAAAATGCACTTCACGTATAAAAGAATGAATTTCTAAGCTTGCATCTGGTTTCTGAATTGTAAGGTTATAGCAAATTAAAATACAAATAATAATTAAGGTAGCTGGAACTTCAAGATATATCACTAATCTTTTTTGTTCCATGCTGGAAATCCACATAATTGTAGATACCACATTCAATATTCTATACATTCATTATACATTTCATTATATATCTCAAAGTTAATATATACATACATACTCCATATCTGGGCTTAACTGAACAATTCAATGACATGCTTTCAGTGACATGAAAATAGTTAACACCAATAAAAATCTGATCAGTATTACTAAAATTTTCAAATTTTATAGCAGGTATTTAAACACCAAATGCACTTTTCTTATTTTACTCACTCCTGACTGACTCAATGCAACACTGTCCTGAATATACACCTTAGCAACTAATATTCTTAGAAAATTATTAGTTTTCTGAAAAACAGGTATTAGTACTGCATTAAACTGCAGCTGGATAGAAGTTATATTTGCTCTAAAGCTCATATATGCCTAATACCAACATGATTAGAATACTACTTATTTTACATACAGCTCAAATTCTTAATTTTCAATACTGCAATCTAACATTAACAAATTAGTGAAAAAGACATATCTCATAATACATAGATATATGTGCACTACACTATATAGCACTGAAATATTCTAACTGAAACAATAATTGTATTTTATAAGATAGCTTCTAAGGAGGTAATGCAGATGTTATGCCTAAGCAAAAACACACTGTATTCCAAAACACAATAATACCAACCCTTACAGCTATTACATGCATATAGAATTTGAAGCAAAAATTTCTAGAACAGTAAAAACAATATGGAAAGTATATCTGAATATATTCATGAACAGTAATATATTGCTCAATATCTACACCACTATGACTCTGGTATATTACAGAAGATACATAAATTAGAAATTATAAAATCAGTATACATTATTGTGAAGGAGATAAATACGATATGACATTAGCCTTAATTGGGGAAGTAGATCATGAATAATAATATTTGCAGTAACAAGAGATAAGAGTTGTGATTTAGTTTTTAAGTTCGAAACCTAACAGGAAGTTTTATTTCTCTACCACAACGAGTGTTTGTTGGGAAATTACTATGATGCATTTCCTTTGAGGATCCACCATTGACATCGTCGTCAAGAAGCTGATTCGGTAGTTCTGGCATGCTATCTGCATTCATAAGGTAAGCAGGTTTCAGCCTATCAATAGAGATGTTAACATCTTTTCCTTTAATATGCACAGAATAATACTTATCATGTCTTTCTGCTACAGAAATGGGCCATCATATGCAGGCTCTAGTGGTTTTTTCACCCGATCAACTCGAACGAACACATGAGTACAGGTCCTTAAATCTCTATGTACAAAAACTTTTTGATAAGATTGACATGTATCTGCAGACTTCATTGGCTTTACTAGGGCCATCTGCTGCTGAAGATTGTACACAAATGTGTCAGGTTCAACGTGGACACTGGGTTTTTCAAAAATTCACCAGGAAGCCTGATATTGGTACCATATACCATTTGAGCAACAGAATAGTTTGTACCATCTCTGATAGCAGCTCTTAAACCCAACAAAATAGTGGGTAGCATATCACTCCATTTTACATTATTGTGAGCTTTTATTGCAGCCTTTAGTGTCCTGTGAAAGCGCTCTATTTTCCCATTACATTGGGGATGAATAGGGCGTTGTATGCAGAAGTTTAGCACCACAAATAGCAGCAAGATTTTTAAACATTTGGGAGGTAAACTGGCGACCTTGGTCAGTTACAATACACTGTGGCACTCCAAATCTGCTCACCCCAATGGTCATAAAAAGCTTTACTCACCAGTTCTGCAGTGATCTCTTCTAATGGAACTACCTCCATCCAACAGGAAAATCTATCAATGCATGTTAGACAGTAAATTTTACCATTAGATGGTGGCAAAGGCCCAATCAAATCAATATGGATGATGCTAAATCTGGCATCAGGTTCTTGATATGTACCAAAGGTCGATTTGGTGTGTCTTGTTACTTTAACTTTCTGGCACTGCAGACAAGCTCTAGCCCAATCACTTGCTTGTTTTCTTCATCCTGGGCCATACAAATCTGGCAGTTATCTGTTTTACAGTGGATCTGACACCAGGATGTGCAAAACTATGGATATGATCAAAATTTTCTTGCGAAAACTTTGAGGTACATATGGGCGAATATTGCTAGCTGAAGTATCACACCATAGGACATTTTTAGATTGTAGTACATATTCCTTGAAAATTAATGAGGTGTTACTTGCAATTAATTCTTTCAACTCAGGGTCATTCTGTTGTGCCTTTGCAATTTCTTCATAATCAATTACAGATATCTCTTCAATTCTGGAGAGAGTATCTGCTACAATATTGTTCTTTCCACTAATGTGCTGTATATTTGTAGTAAACTGGGAGATGTACTGTAACTGACGCAGCTGCCTAGGTGAAGCTTCATCATTCTTTTGCTCGAATGCAAAAATCAGTCAGTGGTTTATGATCAGTGAAAATTTGAAAATCTCGTCCTTCCAGCATGTATTTAAATTGCTTCAACAGAGAGATATATTCCAAGCAATTCACGATCATATGTACTGTATTTTCTTTGAGCCCCATTTAGCTTTCTTTGAATAAAAATGCAACTGGTTTCCAGTTACCATCTTCATACTGTTGCAAAACTGAACCAATTGCCCAATCTGAGGCATCAGTGCACAGAGATAATGGACATTCAGGCTTTGATAACTTAAGAGGGCAGTATTAGCCAAGTCAGTTTTGCACTTCTCAAATTGCTTTATGCTTTCTTCAGTCCAAGGTACTTTACTTTTTATCTTTTTTTCTTGCTCCCTTAAGCATTTCATGTAGCATGGCCTGGGTCTGCGCTGCATCTTTCAAGTACCTCCTATAAAAATTTACCATGCCTAAAAACGTTCTTAAGCCATGAAGAGTGGATGGCAGTTCATAATCAAGAATAGCTTTAACTTTGTTTGGCAGAGGTTGCGAACCAGAAGGCGTAATGAGATACCCCAAAAATTCAATTTCTTTAACTCCAAATACGGACTTTGACACATTTAAGCATAGGCCATATTTATCAAGCCTTTCGAAAATTAAGCTCAGATGTGTTTTATGCTCATCCTCAGATGACGAGGCGATTAAAACATCATCAAGATAAGGAAAACAGAAATCAAGCCCTCGAAACACCTCGTGTACAAATCTTTGAAAGGTTGAGGGAGCATTTCGGAGACCAAAACTCATAACGTTAAACTCGTACAGTCCAAATGGTGTAATAATGGCTGTTTTTGGTTTATCCTCCTCAGCTATGGGTATTTGATAGTATGCTTTGAATAGGTCTAATTTTGAGAAAATTGTTTTCCCACTCAAGATTAAATGAAAATCCTCAATCCTAGGAATCGGGTATCTGTCCGGAATAGTCTGCTCATTCAGACGTCTATAATCACCACAGGGTCTTAAAGTTCCATCTTTCTTTGTAACCAGATGCAGAGGACTAGCCCACTGTGATTTAGATGGCCTGATTATACCATTGTCTAACATGAACTGAAACTCTTGTTTTGCCAAATTCAGTGTCTTAGCATCAAGCTGCCGAGCACGAGAGTAAACTGGCTGTCCTTTTGTAGCAATATAGTGCTGGACCTTATGTTTCACTTTGGTGTTCAATAAATTGGGCTTCGTAATACCAGGGTACTTTCGCAACAGCTCAGAGAATTTTACAGAATTGCTCACTGTGCTAATCGCAGTATTTTCAGTTACTGACATTACATCACTATGTACAAACATATTTGTCACACCATCAATTAATTTTCTCTGGCGAATGTCAAGCAGTAAGTGAAACTGATTCAGAAAATCGGCACCTAAAATGCCTCTGTTTACTTTTGCTACAACAAATGGCCATTGGAATGGGCGACGTAGTCCGAGGTCCACGGTCAACACCTTACTTCCAAACGTTGGGATTTCAGTTCCGTTAGCTGCGTATAGCTTGTATGAAGTGCAGGTACTTTTAGATTTCGTATCAGCTGGAATCAAGCTGATATCTGCTCCACTGTCAATAAGAAATTTGATTCCTGTTTTTCTGTCTTTGATAAAAAGGCGAAATTTGCGGCAATTAATGTTTCCAGTAGCAGCAGGGCTTGCCGCTGATTCTACTGCTAGTTGCAGTTTTCCGGCTGCTTCCAACTGCAGGGAGGTTTGCATTTATCAGGGTAGCATTTTTTTTTTCAAATTTGAAATGGAAAAAACAGTATTTTCCATCTGGGTCAAAACGCTTGCGGGATCTGCTGCGACTCCTATTTCTTTGATGGCTTCGACTTCGTCGTCTGTCTCTCGTGTCTTGAACACTCAGATTCACAATTTGTTGCTCAAGTGAAGAAATTT